ATGGAGGTAGGGGGGAGAGTCATTTTGCCCCTCCCCCTAGGGACATTAGTCAATGCCTGGAGACATGTCTGTCACAACTAGGGGGCGGGATGCTACTGGCATCTCGTGGGTAGAGGCCAGGGATGTGCTAATCTTCCTGCAAATCTTCCTGCAATGGACAGGACACTCCTCCATGACAAAGAATTATCTGGCCAAAAATGTCAATAGTTGACATTGAGAAACTCTGCACCAGACTAAGCCTCAATTGACTTTAGGATAGTGAAATTCTCCCTTAGAAGATTGAGATGTTATGAGGAAGAATTTCTCAAGCCTTTTGATGGTAATTTCATCAGTTAACAGCATTTTGAACAAAAGCAATATCATTAGAGAAAAAAGTCTTAGTTTCCCTGAAGGAGAATTTTGAAGAGGAACCACTCATTTGATCTTTCTGCTCACTCGGTTGGTTACCAAAAAAGTTGCATGTGCTCAGGGATGCCCTCTTGAGATGTTCCAGTTACACTGTCTCTTAGGCTAGGGCTTTCTAGCTTTCATTCTTTTTAAAGCTGCTAAATCCTTTTTCAAAATAAAATTGAGGTTATGTGGAACTCAATAATAAGAAAAAAAAAACAATGAAGAACTGCAGAAAGGGTAGACAGGAGGGACTGGAATGGAACCTTCCTTGTTCAAGGCCAACCTTAACCATCACTGCCCTTCCCTGCCACACCCCACCCAGGACTCCACCTGTGTTACCTTGAAGACCACTCTCCAGCAGCTGAGCTGTGAAAAGAGCAGAACCAGGTGGACCAGGAGACCTTGCATGTTGTGAGCTGATCCACCTCATGACAACAAATTCTGATGCCTGCATCCCAAAATTCTGATGCCTTCCATCCTTTGGAAATGTTTCCTTCATGTCAATTTATCTACTAGGTTCTCAGAAGCAGCAGCATTGACTGTCCTTCCTTGATGACTTCTATTCTAACTAATTAGAAAATCACTTATGCGAATAATGCAGAAATATAATTTATAGGCAATAGAAGTAACCACAAAGCAGGTGATTTTAAAAAAAATCTATCATGTTAGCATGCCTTAGGCACTTCTCTGCCCTCCTGACACCTACCTTCAGTGTGCTGAAAATAATGCCATGCTTATAAAGCAAAAATTAGAAACTTTGATTCTAATTTGCCATTTGGACTCTAGGAAATATGATAGCTTAAGGCCAAAATTGCATTCTATATTCCTAATTGTATAAGATGCTCCTCTTCTTTGTTTCAAATAATCAAAAGCTGCATCAGTTGAAATTATGTACCTAAATTGTAAAAAGCGTTTACATTACAATTCCAAAACATCAGTAAAGAAATGTTAGTCCATTCAGGCTGCTATAATAGAATACCTTAGATTAGGTAATTTATAAACAACAGAAATTTATTTTTTACTGTTCTAGAGGCTGGGAAGTCTAAGATCAAGGTGCCAGCATATTTGGTGTCTGGTTAGAGCCTGTTTCTTATAGATAGTGTCTTCACACTATGTTCTCACATGGTGGAAGGGACAATCAAGCTCCCTCAAGCCTCTTTTGCTCTTTCACAAGGGCACTAAGCTCATTCATGAGAGCTCCACTCTCACCATCTAATCATCTCCTAAAAGCCCCATCTCTTAATACTATTGCATTGAGGATTAGGTTTCAAAAAATGAATTGGGGAAGGGGAGACACCAACATTCAGACCATAGCAAAATGCATAGAGAAAATCATTCCCAAATACACGAGAAGCCATCCAAACTAAGCACCACCCATCTGGGAAGTTCTTAAAAATGCCATCTTTGTGCAGCGAGCCACAAGTCCACCCATGGTAGCCACCCTCCAGGATGGGCCCTGAGGATCACCTCCTGGTATTCGCATCCGCTTTGTGTTATGCCTCCTGTATTGCCCCAGGGCTGGGTCTGTGTGACTAAGAGCATATGGCAGAAGCAATGACATGTGCCTTTTGAGCTCCCATGTTGTGAGCTGCCCTGTGGAGAGGCCTACAGGGCAAGGGACTGAAGGAGGCCCAAGCCAACAGCCTGCAAAGAACTGAGGCCTTCCAACAACCATGTGAATGTGAACTTGAAGACAATCCTCCCTGGGTCGAGCCTTCAGGTGAGACTGTAGGCCTACCCAACAGCTGGGCAGCACATGAGTCACCATGAGCCAAAATCACACAACTGAGTCACTTCTGGATGTGTGGCCTTCATAAACTATGTGAGATAATAGATGTTTGCTATTTTAGGCTGTTAAGTTTTGAGGTAATTTGGTATGTGGCCATACATAGATAACTAATAATTAATGTGGCCTCAACAATATCCTCAGGCCCAAGAGAGAGCAAGCATGAAGGAAGGGTTTCATTAGATATCAAAGGTGGGCTCAAAGGAAAGGAAACATTTGGGCAGTTCTACCTCAAAACATAAATAAGAGGGAAAAAATCCAGCAGAGATTCCAGTTTCCATGTCAGAAAGGAGTAGAGCGGGCAGTGGGAAATTATCACCGTGAGAACTCCGTAAACTTCTAGGACCAGCTTGTTACTTTTATTATCTCCTATTTCCATGAAGTGATCAACACATAAAACAAAAAGAGCCTATGGGACTTTTCACTGGGACAACAGCCAAGGACCAAACTGAGAATAAAAGGAATTCTATTCTCCAGCCAAGGTTCCAGGGGCAAGAACCCCAAGACTGGAATCAGATAAAGACTCTGAGACCTCCATGGAAGAAGAGGAGGAAACATGGAAGCACTATAAACCTGAAATAGGGTCTGGGAGCTTACCTCCCTGAATCACTCATTAAACAAACATTAATGAAGCACCTACTGCATGCTAGGCAGTGTGCTAGACACTGTAAGAACTTCAGAACAACATGGTATTCAGATAGAGGTATGCGTCAGATGCCATAGGAGATCAGTAAAGAGACATTTACATTCTAATCAGCAAAGAAGGATCAGAAAAGACTTTCAGGAGTAATTGAATTTTGAAGTGAGTTTTGATGAACTAGTTAACAGAAGGGAAAACTAGAAGAAAAATATTCCTGGCAAAATGTAACATGCACAATGGCACAGAAGTGTTAAATGCTATGACATGCTGGGAGAATTCCAGATAATATAGTATATAGTTAGAGGGAAGAATACATCCAGGAGGCTTGTAGAAGATGAGGATAAAGAGGTCAGTAGGGCAAAATTTGGGTAAAAGTGTTATCTTGTAAATTTAAATCTATGATTAACCATTGAAAAGCTTCAAGCATGCATGCGTGCATTCCTTTGGAAAATATTAATAGAGCATCCACCCTGTGCAAGACATTTTGCTTCTATAGCACTAGGGATACATCAGTCAACAAGGCAGTTGTTGTCCCTCCCCTTGTTGCACTTATGGTTCAGAAGAAAAAATAGACTAATAAGTTCATGTTTTAGGTAGATCCCTTTAGTAGTTGTATAGGGAGTGGATAGGCATGGGAGAGGGAGGAGAGGGGAAGGGTTTCCAGATGCATTTCCAAAGCCATCTTCATATTCCATCCTACTCTCTGGCCTCATTTGCCTTCATATCTACCAAAGATACTTCTAAAAATTCCATTTCTAGGATATCAATTGTGCATGCCCAAAGCAAAAATTTCCCTGACCTATCCAATTTAAGCTCCTTTCTCTTTTCTGCATGGCAAGAAGGACTTACTAAATGTCAAAATTGAAAAAGACCCAGGAGACTCTGATCCATGCACGTACAAATATGGCAACTTAGGTCCAGAAAGGGCAAGCAGCACCTTCGAGTTCTCAAGGCTGGTTGCAACAGAGCTGGCTGAAACTCAAGTCTCTGGGGTTCTATTCCAGTGCTTTTTTCACCGCATCTCACTAATGTCATCATCCTTGAACTGCCATGCTTCAGCAGCCTGCAAGAGCAGCATGCAAAAAAAAGCCCAGAATGTGGCAGAGATTTTAGCCTCACTGAAACAGCAATGGTTTCATTCGGCAGCCATCCAAGGTCCCAGCTAAGGCTGTTTTCCTCCACTCAATTAGACAAAGCACTGGGGGAAGATCAGGCTGAGAAATTCTCTGGGGTCTCGTCTGTTAATTGAAGCCACTGTCAGATTTTCCACAGGATGACAGATGATCAAAGATTTCTTCTCCCTTTCTTTATCACCCTCTTATTTCAAGGCAACATGAGGCCAAATTACAAGTAAGAAATAGTACGATCTATTTTAAAATGGAAATAAAACAGTCAAAAGGGAACAGATAGGCCTAATCACTTAGATATTTTCAAAGTTTGATGCCAAGGAGCATCCATTTTTCAAGGGAGAAGAGAGTCTCACTCTGGATAATTCCATTGAATTGTGTGAGCGTCCTATTTGCCCAGTCTTTCCCAGCCGTGTGTCACTCCCCTGCTGTTTAAATGCATGCAAGGGCTCAGGTCCTTTGGGCACTGGATGCATCAGTGACCAGCAAATTAACAGCCTGTGTCTATATTGACATTCATGTTCTCAACTTAATGGTTAATTTATTTAATGAACAGCTTCTGGTCCTCATTAAAAAGGTAGGATGTCAAAAGTGTATTGGACTGGGCAATATGATAAATAGATAGGGACGGGTCCCCATTCCCAGGGTAAATTGTTGCATTTCATTCATTTCACTCATTCCTTAAACATGTGTTTTTGAGTGCCTATTATGTGAGTGTCTGGTCCCAGGCTAGGTGCGGGGCCTCCAGCTGAAATACTTACTCTACCCAAAAAGAGCTCTAGCTCCTTGGATAATATAAACAAGCTCAGAGCTGCCCAACAATAATATGAGAGCCCTGAAACTCTCTGAGCCAAATGAAGACAATTGAATAAAGTATCCATTGTCAATCTAAGCACAAATCTAAATTTGCTGATTGTTGATAGGCATTACTTCCAAATAATCGTGATCCAAAAACAAAGTTTATCCAACAAGAATAGAACCAAGAATTGCCCACCTCCAATAAAAGGGGCAACCAAAGTTCTACCCAAAACAAACAGAACCAAAAACCAACAATTACCTTCAGGTGACATTTTCCAATCACTAAAATCATGGCAAAATCTCTCCTCCTTCCTTTGTGCTGACAGAGCCTTCTCTCAGCTTCTTACAGCACTGCTTGCTTTCTGCCTTTCACCGAAGCTACTTGTAGGTGTGTGTATCTCCCCTTCTCCATGGTAAGTTCATGAGGGTTCTCAGTCCCTGGTGCCTGGTTATGTTGATTTCTCAATCCGTGTTAGTTGAATTGAAGTGAAGTTCCAAAACAAGGGACATGTTTCTTGTCATAGACACTCCCCTTCTCTCGAGCAAGAACCATCAGTGTTTAGAGAAGTGGTTAAAACCACAGATCCTGGAATCCAGCTGTCTGTGTTTGAATCCTGGCAGGTACTTACTAGCTGCATGACCTTGGGACAGGTTGTTAATCCACCCTGTGTACAAGTTTTCTCATGTACGAAATGAGGATAGAAATAATACTGTTTAGCACTGTTGTGAGGTCTAAACAATATATGGAAAAGAATTTGGAGGGAAAAATAGTGGGGTAATTCTGCAAAATTTGTTCTACCCAGGGGCAAAAAATGTTGCTGGAAAACTGCTCCCCATTATAACTGATTTGATGTTTCCAGAAAGTTGCCCATTTTGAAGTCTGAACCACCTGGTAGCCAAGTCTCAGTCCCACACTTTGAAAGTTTTCCTTTAATTCTTTTGTAGTAAAGAGAAGCTTTAACAAAGACCAAGCATTTGTTACATAGCTCAGTGATTCATACCTTTAAAAAATGAGACTAAAAGAAAACTGGCAGCCTCGATAATATTTTCAGTCTCTCATTAGTCTACTCTATACAGATTTAAATATGTATTACATGAAGAGATTGTGAGCCCCACGGAAGTATAAATCATGTTTTATTTCATCTTTGTTATCACATCACCTAATACAGTATCACACCTATAGTAAATGCTCAATAAATATTTCATGAGTAAATAATTTTATTTTGGGTGATTTCTTTTATATATTTCTTTGATGTAAATAAAACTATGAATTACATTGATAAATATACACACCTGTGTGTGTGAACATGTGCATGGGCTCATATAATTTTATAGAAGTCTATGTCAAAAAGAAAAGGCTTAAAAGAGACCATAATCAAGGTTGTAGACAAAACTGGACAGAACTCAAGGCCCAAATCTACCTATGACAGGAGCAACTTTCCAGGGACGTATTTGCCCCTGGATAAGACAAAGAGCTACACATTTTATTTTCTAATTTCTGCAATGATTTCAAAACTCAGAATTAGAAATTGTGTGCCTAATATTTAAAATAGTTATTTCTAATTCAGATGACACTGGTAATTCCAAATAAAATGTGTCAGGGAACAAGTGCCCCCAAATCCCATCCACAGTGGCATAGCTACAGGAATGTAATTAAGCAACTTAATCACATCAGACTTGTCCTCCCCCTTATAACCAAGGCTCTCCTTGCTTCTTTGCATCTTCACTTGGAGAAAATTCCCTCCTGGTTCTCTCTTGTAGTCCCTGTTGGTGGTAAAAAGCAAATTACATGAGATAATTTATCTTTATACAGGTAACAAAACTAATCCAAATCTTGTACACTTTATTTCCTTTTTCTGTCTTCTTTGGGGTGTTATCTTTGATAACTGAGACTGTTAATGAAGCTAAATGAGACTATTAATGAAGTAAAAACTGTTGTATTCAGGTTAGATACAGTACATTTACAAGCTGTATTAACTTATAGGAGGGGGGAATTTGGAAACAATTCTAAGTGGCAAAATACCATATGTAGTTTAACCAGTAGTAAATGCAAGATCTTAATAGGCTTAAAGAGCCACCATTTATAATTCCTCCCCTCATTATTTTAGGAATAAGAGAAGAATTTTAACAAGAAAATAAAGAGAAAAATCTAAGGTTAGAACATTTGAGATAACCAGAAAAGCTACCCACTGTGTAGATTATGAGAGAAAGAGAGAACTCCCCTGCTTGAAAAAAGCAATTAAACAAACAGGATGTTAATAAGAGGAGGTCTGTGAGAAATAGAAAATGGACAATAAAGTCTTTTTGCAAGTTTAATATCAAGATCATGTTTCAGCTTCATTATGCTAAAGAACACATGAAAAATATATAAGATTTCTATTTGGATTTTCTGTGAAGCTACTTTTCCTCAGTTTGTATCATATTTTTTTAAGTAGATTGTATTTTTTTGTTCAGCTCTTAGCTTAGGGACTCATGCTAATATCCTCAGTGAAACTGTAGGCTACTCTGAACATATATAACTCTACTGCCACCTGATGCCAACATACTGAAATTGCAGGGGCAGATCTTGAAACCAAATATTCCTCTCGGTAGAAGACTTTAAATTTGCATGACTAAACCAGGTTTGTGATTTCTCAAAGAATACAGTTTGACACTAATGCAAATGAGAAAATGTAATGATTATTTAAAAACTGAATAAAAGCAGAAAGGGGGCAAAATTTTCCAGTCTTGATAAAATTACCAATATAAAATTTTTATACAAGTTTACCTCATTGTTATACTGGTACAGTATAAAATGTTGTGGTCTGTTTCTCCTTTGCATAAATATTTACAGAGACATGAACAATTTCTTAAATAGTGGCCTAGACAATTGCATCAGTCAGCTTCTTGGTGCAGCTGCTATAAGAAAGAGACCCAAAATCATAATGACTCATACATGATAGAATTTTATTTCTTTCTCGTGTAAAGATAAAAAATAATAGGGTACAGATATTTGATAATATTAAGTAATTGGCGTTCTTTTTTTAAGTGTGTTAATGGCATGGTAGTTTTGTTTTTGTTTTTAAGTCCTTAAATATTAGAGAGGAGTAAGTGGAGTAGAAATGATCAGGGAAGACAGCCAAGGGCTGGTGGGATTGCTCCACAATGATCAGAGGTAGATATCTTGTTGATCAGTCTGCTGGTCCAAGCAGCACTCCTGTGCCCACCATCATATCTTTATCCCATACTGCAAAGATAAACAGTGGAAGAAAGGGAAAACACATTCCTTCCTTTCAAGGACTCAGTGTGGAAGTTGTGCACATCATTTCCACTCACTTTTTATTGCCCAAGGTCCTAGTCCCATGGTCATATCTAGAGAAATGTGATGGTCACATCTTGGCTGACCCTTTACCCAACTAAAAATTCTATCGGTGTGTAATTCTATTATTAATACAAAGATTAAAAGAAAACTGGTGGCTTAAATAATAATTTGATTCTCCCCTTTAGTCTACTCTAGGTGCTTTTAAATAGTTATTGCTGGCCAGGCACAGTGGCTCACGCCTGTAATCCTAGCACTCTAGGAGGCCGAGGCCGGTGGATTTCTCGAGATCAGGAGTTCGAAACCAGCCTGAGCAAGAGAGAGACCCCCTCTCTACTATAAATAGAAAGAAATTAATTGGCCAACTAATATATATTAAAAAAATTAGCCGGGCATGGTGGCGCATGCCTGTAGTCCCAAGCTACTCGGGAGGCTGAGGCAGAAGGATTGCTTAACCCCAGGAATTTCAGGCTGCTATGAGCTAGGCTGATGCCATGGCACTCACTCTAGCCTGGGCAACAAAGCGAGACTCTGTCTCAAAAATAAATAAATAAATAAATAGGTATTGCTTTGAAAAAAGACAAGGAAACTGTTTCAGAGCTAAGGGAGCTGAATTCAACACATGACAGGGATTTTATTTTGCTCCAGAGGACATTGTTAGGACAATAGTCAAATCTGAGTATGGTTTATAGATCAAATAATTGTATTATGTAGTATTAATTTTCTGATTTTGACTGTACTGTGGTTGAATAAGGGAATGTTCTTATTTTAGGAACCACACCCAGAAGAATTTACAGGTAAAAAGTCATCAGATCTGCAATTGTTTCTTATATTGTCAAATACATAGAAGGCAAGAGAAAGAAAACAAAAGCAGTAAAATATTAACCTTTGGGGACTCTGGATGAAAAGTATCTGGAAAGGCTTTGTACTATTCTTGCAACTTTGCTGTAATTCTGAATCGTGTCAAAATAAAAAGTTAAAAACAGTACTACCTCATTTCTGACTCAAATTAATTCATTAGATTTTTTTAAATGTGGTTCATTTACAGTTTAGCCATTATATAACACCTTGATTGAACTCTAATTTCAGAAAATTTAGTAGACTTAATTTCTATATTTGGTTTAATTTAAGATTCCTCCCCTACACACACACACATACATACAGAGATTACAATGAATAGAGTTAAAATGGAAAAATTATTTGCAGCATTACAAATGGCGAGAAAAGGCCACATGCACAGTTCAAGGTTTCCATACTCAGAGCCAGGGATCCAGCAGAGGCAGCAAGGAGAGTTTCTGGACCAGGGGTAAGTGCAGGCATTGCCCCAGTTTCTCCCTCTGCCCGAGTTAGAGAGCTGGAATTCTTGTCCATTTATGTTCAGGCTTGCAAGGCCATGACACTAACAATCGGCAAACTTTCGTTTTGGTAATGTAGGAATATCAGGTCCTCCCAGTTCTTAACCAAATTTAGCATCAGCCAAGCCTTTATCCTTGTCAGAGCAGACAAAGCTGCTCTGATGCCCAGGTGTCCCTGAACAATACCTCCACCTCCAGCTTGCATTATTACAAAAAGTCAATCTTCCCACACAGTCTCCAAATAGTAAGAACCCTAAAACATTCTGTTCCATAACACTTCTCATGGAGAAACATTCCTTGACTTGGATCTATCACAAGCAGACCAGCCTGCAGGCTCTTCCCCTTCCCCTAATGGTAACATATACCTTTAGCCTGGGGTAGACAACTTCATTCAAACAGAAACAGACATCTAAATCTTGGGTCACAACAGTCAGCAATGACGACTGGTCTTTGTCCAGCGGCAGTTACGGTTCAATCTCTTTTTAAGCACCAGGCCCCCCTTTAGATGCTTAAATTGCTATAGATCCTTCCAAGCCCCCACCTTCTCCCCAGGAGTCAAACAGCTCTTATTAGCACTTCCCCAGGGAAGGGGACACTTCAAGGACAGAGTCAGGGGCAAGTGTGGAGACTCTGCCTGCATGGGAGCCACCAGCTAGCTGGTTATGTCAAGCTGACTTGAAAGCAGGAAGCAAACCCCTCCCCAGCAGCCCACTAGGCTTTGGCAGCAAGGAGCTCCTCCTTTGCTGAGGGCACTCATAAACAGGGCCCTGGGGGGAGCCCTGCTGGGGAAGCAGGGGGTGCCCTTTTCCCCCATATGCCTAGCTATACTCCAAGGGAAAAGTGAA